TTTTCGATCTTCTTCACGTCGTTTCTCTGTATTTTTGGCACCTATTCTCTGTTGTTGTCAGTGTGATCTCATGCTGCAGGAACAGGAGGCCGTAGATCACAAGCCACGAAAACGCTATATGTGTCTACATCTTGCCAAGGCAGCGCCAAGGCAAGCAAAATATCGTAGTTACTGTTACGCCTTCGCTGTTACGAAAGCGTAGCGGATTATTCACACGATGCGGCACTGTTCTTGGCCAAAGTGAAATCGGGCGCCCGCATGTTGGTTATATTCCAGTCCGCCATATATTATATAAGCCACCGTCATTATTGTATTAGAAGCATTGTTTTAGTCATTAGTTTAGATATGTACATATCGCTTTCGTATTTATTTCACCGCAATTAATATGAAGTTTCGATTTTTCTACAGAAAATAACAGTCATTTTAGAGGAAACATATCAGTTGTCAATAAAGGCGTCCAGGTATTTAGTCTTTAAAGACTTCTGGCCGTTTAAAACGTTAAAATTTTAGGGATCTTTACTCTGCTAGTCCGTTGCAACGACACCGAACAGTATGGCATATTTTACGATCACTATTTACATGTTACTCGTGCATTAAGGACAAAATACTGTGCGTGTGCCAATGTTCGTTGAAATATTTGTTTCTATTTAGAATAGTAGAAACATATATATATAGTGTATGCGTGTTGTATTCTGTACAATTTGTGGTAGAATCGTTGATTTGTTCGTTGGCCTTTCTTAGATTCTGCCCGGCTAAACCGTACACCCGCTTTGGTGATGATGCGCCGTTAAACGTCTCGTGAGGGAGCCTACAACATGAAATGGGTAGAAACTGCTGTCTATCGACCACTCGTCATCCATTACTGTAGCTGCCGCTTTTACAAAACAAAACAAACGGCGACCTCAGACAAACGGCATTTGTAGTAGTTCCAGATATGTACGTAGATGGTGTGCCTAGGTTTATTAGGCACGCACGCCGATATTCGTACCAGCACAAATAATCGATTCCTTTTGTCGTCGAACTCCTTCACCTACGTTGTTGTCTGGAGCATATTATATACAGTGTGTATAGGTAGTCTAGGGCAAAGACGTTTGTGCAGCCTCGCTAAAGCAACGATAAAGAATAAGATCAACGCAATACTATTATTCTAATTATGATTTTATCAATGAAGAACATAGCTTCGGTTTGTTTGCGTTTCGTCACTTCGTGAGAATGTACCGCGTAATATAAAACACGTTCGAAAAACGTCGAACAGATAGGCATACTAAAACAGGCAAAACATCCGTTTAGCTAAATTTAAAGCTCCCTTCGTTTCAGAGGTTAACGGTCGCGTGTCATCGTCAATAAATTGAGCGTTTTATGGATTGTCGCCATAGAATCGCTATAGTTACCATTTGGTAAAATTTGATTATGTACTCGGTCGTTCAGGAAAACGGATTTAGGACTCTACGTGTTTTGCTTAAGAAACAGTTAGGCCACGTATGATGCAAAGAATCTCACCTGTTTAACTAAGCTGTTGTTATATCTTTGTGGGTGGCTGCATGCACTGGACTTTATCCGATCCTGACAACAACAAACGAATAATTAAAATAATACAGACAAAGGTCTAGCAACTAATGGTAGTGCAATACTATTCATTTCTCATAATCGATTAAAACACAGTGGGAAGTGCCATTAGGGCCGCGAAAGGCCACATTCCAGTTCCCATCGATAGACGAGCAAACGTTAGAATAGCTGCTGACTCAAGTTAACTGACGACGTACTGGACTCATCAAGAAACATAGATAGACGTTAGACAACTACTAGACTCCCGCCAACTAGATAAGGTAGCAACTTTATTCACGGTGTTTGGCACTTTTACAATCTGCACATAAAGAAACCGCACTTTATTTAGGTCTGTGTGCAAGTCTCCTCTAACTAACAATGTATACGCAACATAATCATCATAAATGTATTCGACATCCGCATTATATTTAATTGGATATAATACAAACAAAGGGTCCTTAGTCAAACGGCGCTTAACCTTTTACTGCTCTCCGCGCTACTAAAGGATCTAGCGACGAAAATTCGAGAATCCAAATACCTTGTGAGGAGAATTTCGTACGTTCACGACATATTTATCTATGTAATCAGACGCTTCCACGTCCGGCAAACGTTAGCTAAACTAAATGTTATCTCACTAGAACTCGGCTTAACTGTGAATCTGCTAAAAACGAGAGCGATGATGTCTGAAAAAGAGAGAGCAGACTGCTTCCGAAGACGCATTCTCTATCGTGAAGCCCCTGAGCATACAAGTTCTCCGATCTCGGATTACTTCTTTCATTCAACGGTAGACGATTTTCATCGCATGTCACTAAAGGGTGCAGAAAGTCAATGATAGCGATTTCTGTCGTCAAAAATCCCGATCTTCTATCAATCGCTACCGCCCTCCAGCTGTCGGGCATTAAAGAAGTTCTAGTGGCTGCCCACGGCATAGAGATCAGAGAAGTGGACCCTCTTGTTGCACACTTGGAGGAACGAAGATTGCCTCGTATCTCAAACTGCATGTCTTGAGCATGTTCTCAGACTCCACCACACAGCACAAGTTCAGCTAATTTACCTTCTTTCTTCGATACTTTTGTTCACCAAGGGCTTTTGGATATAATGTCTCGTGATTGGTGAGGAAATTTGCAGAAGTCGGCGTGGATCTCTACGAATTTGGTACCATGTTAAACTACGCAACGATTACACTGAGCTTTTCAACTCGCCATGTTTTAACAAGTTGTTTCCACCTATGTGTCACTTCGAACTTTTACGAACCAAGTGTGTATCTGTATCAGAATCCAGTGTGATAGATAGCGTGCTTTTTAATGTTCTCATGTGAACTTATCGGCATTTTCCATTTATTCCAAAATGTTATTTTTTATCTTAACAGAATTGCCCTAAGACAATAGTTGTACAAAATGCTGTTGTGTAATAGCCTTGCGATCTAGCTAACAAAGGTGAATAGATTTGACTCAATTTAATTGAGCCCATGTTTTGTCAACAGCAATTTTCGAAATTATCTACAATTTAGAAAATAGTGTTTTTTTTTTTTAAAAAAAGCATCCGCTTGCTTTGTGTAGTGCACTTCCCTTCACCAAAGTAAAAAATTGATGAGACTTTTTTTTATTGTGTTTTCATTCGATTCGGAATTAGAGTCTTCGGAGTTAGAAATACAGGCAGATTCGCTTGAAATGATTTCTGTTGTCCGAAGTCAAGTAGAGTTAAAGATGGTGAGGTTTTGTTACACGAGGGCGGCGTGTCAGCAACAAAGATGCTTGACCCCATAGGGCTACGGCAACAATGACGCTGCTGACGTTGCGCAAAGGCAGGCACAACAAAGAAGGGCAACACGTCTCACAAGGTGTTGAAGATTAAATATGCTATTATTTACGACGATGGATTATCTCAGGGGTTCGGTTTTTCTCTACTCGATTATTGCAAAAAAAAAGTGCTTATTGAAGATTTCCGGAAAATGAATAGAGAAGAAACGATGAGACCCAGTCATTATACTAGGATGATACCTTGTATACTTGCCATCACCATCGTAGATATTATATATTTATCTAGATTATCATCTATATAGAGTATTGTAAGTGAGTAAAGTGAAATCATCACTATCATCACCGCCAGTTTATATTGAAATCAACATAGTGTGACGGAATGGCGGGACGAGGGAAAAGTGGAACGCTATTCGGCTACGTATTGAAATTGAGCTACAGATACGGCAGAGATGCGACGATGCTTATCGCTTGGTATACATCAGACTTATTCTTCTAATACCGCCATCACCAAAACTATATGTATATAGTTTTGGTGTGTAATATAGTAAATATTATATAGTATATTTTTAAAGAAGACGTCGGCGGCGACAAACGACAATTTCTTTAGAGCGAAACAGGTGAATCTATTCGAATCTGTTCTCCTTCTCGTCGGATCGACGTGGCGTTAGCGCCGTTGGTCGCAGCGTCACCGCCGCACTGGCGCATACATAGGTACTCTGATGGCTACTATTATTATTATGATGAGCATACTACAGGTACTTCTACAGGTAGATTGACGTCGGAACGGCAAAGACATAGCAATTTTGAACTGAAGCTGCTTCTACTGGATAGTTGTTCTATATGTTTGTCATGCTTTTTTTTTACTTCTTTATGATATTATTGATCGTTCTTTTCGACGGCGACAGCAGCAGCGAGTAGGATCCTGGCGTCATCGTCCTGTCAGATATTCTAGACGCAAACGCACACGAGAAGAGAGACATAAAGACCAGGAGCAGAAAGAAAGTGGCCATCAAAATTAAGTTACTGTAGTAACTTCATTACGTGTCTTCTTTACGAGTGTCATTATACGCATTGTATAATCATTATTTCTATTCATATGGCGATCGTCTTTCGTCGTTATTGATTATGGTTGATGGAAACACCAAGGGTTGATGGAAACACCAAGGGTTGCAGTTAGCGGACGGTGTTGTTATTGACGCTTATGCTATGGGAGTTGCTTTATATATGGGTATATTGCTTGTCGTATCGTTGTTATTACTGCTAAAGAACGCTAGGCATTGAACATCGAATGTCAATGATAAATGGCAGCGCAGCAGAGGTCAGGGGAACTCGCCCCTTTTGCTAGCTCACACTTATCAAACCGTCTTATGAATGTCCTGAACATCTGTGCGCTAAAGGAGCTGATGATGATAACTAATGGCGATCACGCGGTCAGGGACGAAATCCCGCTGCATCTACTGATGCTACATTCGTTAAAATACATTCTATAATAATGAGCTAATCTCCCGCCACCCTTCTGACGGCTTCGAATACGATTCCAACCGTCACAGTGGACGGCACGTTGTAACGTACTGTGCATACATGCACACACATATATACATATTTGTTATGCTCGATTGTGTTAGTATGTTCTTCGACAACGGGAGTGTTTTTTCTTTTAAGGCTCACGACGTGAGCACGGACGTACATGCCCTAATCAACATACAACCGATCAATAATTCGAGCTTCTTTTATCAAAGGTCGAATTGTTTTGGAGCCAAACTGTCAAAATGAGTAAAAATAGCAGGAAGCAGTAGTTTATTGAGCAATAGCCTTGGTTAGTTCTATATCATGAAGAAGTACAGCATCACATAGTAACAGTCACTATGCAAGGCAAGCAGCTGTACGTAAAAGGTATATATCTAGTATAAGCTAGATATCCGTTCTACAGTAGACGCACGTTGTGACATATTTTCTAAATCCTATAGAAACTAGAATTCAGCATTATTAGTTAAGTTTTTTGTTAGTTTTGGGATAGCGGACGACAACGTTTTTTGGCGCTGTTTATTCTCGCCCCAGCGCGCCTTTTGCCTTTATTCTTGGTGGCTGCGCTGGCCGTCGGGTTCGGGTGTCCTTAGGGACACAGAGACATTATTTTTTTTTTTTTACTGATGACTTAGACTTTCGCTTTTAGCTTTTTCCCACGACGCCTCGTGGCAGCTAGACCCCTTCTGACGGATCGTGTTAGCCACCCCAAACAGCCGCTGCTGGCGACGGAGACAGGAGCCGCTTAGCAGCAGCAACTGCGACGTCACAATCGGCTTTCGCCCGCGGCCATTTTTACTCTTTGTTGTATCCCTTAGTTACTGGAAGGGGCAAATTTGCGTTGGCTTGTTGTGCTATGTTGAAATGCTTCCGTAGCCAGCGTCTGAGGCATTGCTGCAAGTTTTGCCGTTAATTATCTACCGTTGCGTTATTGTTGTTGCAGCTTTCGACCATATGGCCGATAGGACATAGTGCTTATTTAAACAGAATGATATGACTATCAACATATACGTTTCATATTCCAAGCGAAACAACACAAACTCTGCATTGCCCCTCTGATGGACGAAGCAACACAAAGAAGAGTGTAGAAGAACTATCAGAGACCTTATCGACAATAGGTCGTTAATTTTTCAGGGTATCTTACTAGTTACTTTCAGACAATCACGAACAAGCCACCATTTCAACGTGCGTAGCGATCCTAGGTGCCCCTGTTGTACATGTGTTGTTGCCTAGACCTAAGTCATTTCAGACAGATCCCTTGCAATTGTATTTAAAAGGACAAATTTAGTTCACTTCGTGTAACATGGTAGACCATCATATTATTATGAACTAGGCGGTTGCTAATCGCTTACTACCATCACCTTCCAGAGACGGGTGTGTCCTGGCAGCAATACGATATCGATATCTGCTTGGCATGGGCTACGACGGGTAGCGGTCGTACAGGTTGTTAGTCCGGTGCTGTTAATTTCAACGAATGTAGTCATACGCTTTTGTTCCTTCCGTTGCCTATCCTTTATCGCCTTCGCCCGCTTTGGAACCTAATTGTTCTAGATAATACGTTAGTTATCCAACAAGCGCATATTTACAAGCCTTAGCGGATGACCTCTGCTCGTCAACGCAATTGCAGTAGCTGGTACAATAGCATTAACCTTCATCTAGTATGGTAGTATATTTATAATTAGCGTAACAGTCATTATGGTTTTCAAGTGTTGAAGTAATTACTATAGGTGATAGGTCATACTTGTTCAGACCGAACACTAGTTTGCACCATAAGAAACGCGTGACGCAGATAAACGTACGTAAATTTGCAATTTGCTAAGTAATCCAAATACACCCTAGGCTCAGTTTAAAGACTATTACTGAGTATTACCACAAACACCCAGACGAATAGACACGCAGTGCGAATTGTAAGGGAGGACACTCCATCGAATGAGTTTAATAGCATTCTATGATTTCTATCGTTCCGGTGATTTCTCCAAGACGTCTCTATTTACTACAAATACAGGTAACTATCACCCGATAAATTGTATAGCAGTTCTTTTAGAGTCGGATCGGTTAATCGTCATGTTGTGATGATAACTGGCTGATTCAACCCCAAAGGTGAAACCACGTAAGGACTGCCAGAGCTAAAGACACCTTTTTCATAGAAGGCTGAGCAGAAAAGGACAAAGTTTTACTAGTTCTTAGTTGCTTAACTCAACGATGCCTTAGTGATTGCGCCTTACAAAGAATTACATAGTGCATGTATGCTTGTAACCTGTTGTAAGTATCTCCAGTAACAAAAAACAGTAACAGCAATGGCAGCACTGTAAGACATTACTGAATCTTGAAAAATCTCGAGGTATCGTAGAAATCCACAAGCCTTCACTATTTGCATTTCTGCATCTAATACCGTTACAACTGCGTCAGACTCAATAGTCAATCTCGCGATTAACTTTGCAGTAGATTTTCCAGCTCAACGAAGAATGTACCGTTGTTGCCTTTGCCGACATAAACACTCTCATCGCAAAGATCCATTGATCAGAGATTTTGTTTTAGGCAAATAATATTCTAAGGTAGAAAACTATATCAAAATGTGTTTCTGTTGATTCTGCAATGATTTGTGTTAATCTCTTATTATAATAGCAACTGTTAGGGATCTACACTGATGGATACAGACGGTATCTGGTGTGCGTTTACCATTTTCCACTTGTGTGAGTAGCGTTCAATGACGGTCACTGGCAGCGGTAACAGAAAACGAAGCGGTGGGTCATATATAAGTCCTCTTTTTTAAGCTACTCCTTTTTCCGTTTTTTTTCCTATATTCTTTCGAGTGGTCGTTGAAGGTCTGCCTTCTTGGTAGTCACCTATTGCAGGACTCATGCTGTTAACTCAGATGATGATGCATAATAGCACTCTTTTTCGAGCGGTAGCCGTCCTGTGACGCCCTCTTTCTTTTTCTACGAGAACAGGAGAGTAAACGTCCCCTATTTTTTTTCCCTTAGACTGGAGTGCGAAAAAGCGCGTTCGGTCACTTGCTCTTTTGCCTGCTCGAATGCTTCACGGCTGACCTCGCTGCTGCTGCTGGCTCATGAAGGGCTCTTGCCTTTTGCTAGCTATGATGACTATTCAGAGCCAAATGGGCTTGAACCCCATTTTAGAAGACTCAGACGACCGACTATTCTTACGTTGCCCGAGCTAGCCTTTGTCCGGGAACGGGCTTGCTCTCATCCTCCTTTTAGCGCCACCCAGAGTGCTCCGGAGTCTTCTTCTGCGCAATTCGTCGGTCTGAGCATCCGTCCGCTTGTATGCACCCGCTTTCACAAGTTTGCATCCCATGAGTCGAACGAGTAGGTTCAAGACGAGCCGTGTTATGTGAGTGTGTCAAAAAACGTCACACTTCTCAGCGACGACCGTCAAAGGCGACTGGTGATGTTAATGAAAAACTGCAGCAAAGCGCCTAGATCAAAACTAAAAGACCGCCACCGTCAATAGGTCCTAGCGCCGTTTTGGGGCCGCACCCTATACGATTTCTAAGATTTAATACAACTTATCCTACTCGGCGCCAGCAACTACCTTCCTTTCTATTTTCAGCACAATACGACACCTTAGATATTCTTGTTACCGTCACATCAAATTTTTTGTGCGTTACTTGTTCCTTTAAAAATGGCCGCAGTAGAAACGGCATGCATAGAGCTTGTAATGGTTTAGACGACGACCTAAATCTTTCATTTGACTCCGCAACGCCCGGCGACAGCAAAAAAAGAGCAGCGGTGTTGCCGTTCTCCACAATCTCATTTCCATGATTCTTGCTGAATGGATGATCTCCTTCGGCTGACGGTAGTCGCGAGTGAATTGTACTCGTGAGTGTGCAGCATTATGCGCTTTCTGATTTGTTTTTCAGTATGCAGTATAACAAATACAAGCAACGAGAAAAATAGATTATGTACTGAGCCGTAAATGAGTTGTTTGATACGTTTCAGGTCAAATTCATACGTACACACACAGAGGGATTCGCGAGTCTGTTACGTACCGTCTCCTGGTGACATCCCATATCCAACCCGTTCACTTATCGTGATTACTTTTAAGCTCTTCGTTGTCGCTTCGGATTCATCAGTGTTAGGTCGACAAAATGTGCTGACCTGCAACGAAATTCGAAGCATAAAGCTGTTAAATGACGGATGAAATGTCTCTGATGCCAAATCAGCCTTCCTTCGAATATTTGATATTCATATTGCCTCCGTGTTGGATAGGATAGATGGACAGATGGATGGATTGATTGATGGATGAATAGATAGACAAATGAATGGATGGGTACGATGTAGCGAAAGATCGGCCGAGAGAAGACGCAGGGAAAGTGATAGCTGGCAAATTCATAGGCATATACATGTCTGTTTAATTATTCATGTGTGACTGCATTTAGCCACATATATATCTTTATTATATTAGAGACTCGGTTTATTGTGTGATAAAGCAGTGAAATAAAAGTTAAGACTTTACGCAGGGAGACCGAACTAGCCCAAAGTTGTCTGTAGGAGGGGCTTGGAATCATTTAATTTTACTGAACACATAATCATATAAAATACATTGTTTTGTATTACAGAAAAAAATGTACGCCAATAGTTGCTGGTGTTAGGGTTGCGCAAACGTCTCAGCTGCGTCAATTATTTAGATTCTCAATAGAGATTTGTGGGTGTCGCTTGGCACCTATCGTAAATCGCGAATCTCTCACAGTTGAATAGGTTTTCACTTATTCGTCTGTTAAAGTAGCAGGAGCTACGTAAATTCTTACAATACGAAGCGGATTTGTAACTGGGGCCTAATGACTTTTATAATAGAATGCTAAACGTGTGTTTAGCGTGTGGAACATGTGTTACACAGTATGATACAGAGTGGTGCGTTCTAAAGGTAAACTGAAAAACATTAAACTACATATATATATTTAAATGTCAGTCTAAATATTTTTGTTACCTTACTTTGTATGTAGCTTTGTTCAATGAGAGCATGAAAAGATTTTTGCTTTAATAAAAAAATCTCCAGTTTTCCCTGGTTCTTATTTTTGACACTTAACCCTGACTGTGCTATATTTCTTGCGCTAAAGGGAACTGAAGGCCTAAAATCTAGCTCGCGTGTTTGCTGCTGCTTGTCTCCTGGCTCTCGTCCAAGTCCAGAACTCAAGGAGAAATAGTATGGAATATGAGCAGATGGCAGACGCCTTCTCACGGTTTACCGGCAAACCCTTGAAAGGTCCGTCCTTCTATCTAACAAACAAAACGAAACGAAGTGCCGGCTCAGTCGCATCGTTTCACCACTCCTGAGCCAATACAGTAGAGATTTCCTATTTAGGTATCAGTTCCCGCTGGGCTGCATCCGCTACCTACAGTTAGTCCATTTTGAGACAGATACATCTGTGAAATTTCAGCGACGCTTCTCTCAATAATACAAGTACGGAGCACAGCCGTTCCTCTAAGTAAATATCGCACGGTGATTTATACTTACGCAAACGCTACCCAGCAGAGTGTTTTGCCGACTGCTTGAACATCATAGGTTTGACCACGGATATATATAATCCAGTGGAGTGACTATCTCATAAAGACTGGGCAGATAAAACTGCGCAGAGTTAATACTGAACGTTTATAAACTATAGTTAACTTGTTCTTATATATGCCTGGCGTATGGTCAATTTCGTAAACTGTACGTTAATATTGTTAAAAACGGATGTGTTGTGGAAGATGAGACAGCGGGAACGTGGATTTTCGCCACTCTGGCTCATTGGGCACGGGATCAACGATGACTCAAAAATGGTTCGGCTGATATCAATAAATAGCACTTGGGATAAAAATAGGAGCTACTGTTTTGTAAAATGACTCATTTTAGTTAAGGAGCATAGACGTTGTAGCCACAGGAGTATTAGCAGCTCTTAATATAATGGTTAGTTTTATTGGGGCTTTACAACGATCGAAAAAGCATTTTATGCCCAAAAAGCGCGCGCATTTAATACAATACGTAAAGTAGTTGATGGACAGCCGCCGAGCGGCGATTGAATGGCGGCACTTTACTGAAGTCGTTGAAGATGGTCAGTTGACGCCTTCGTCGACTCGTGTGTCAAGGTTGTGAGAATAATTTGTTGGCGAAAGGGGATAGCAGAGCGAAGGCTTCGGTCTGGAAATATCAAAGTTGTCGGTTATAATATGTCCCGTGAGAAATATTCGTTGTAAAATTCCGCTCCTTGCGGCTGGAGATTGTTTATAGCTATAGCAGCAGTAAACACACTTATCCGTCTATGGGCTACTTTTCACACAATACAAATATATACCATACGATCATAGTACCCGCCCAACGGTTATCAGCGAAACCATGTCTATGGTTTAAACATGCTCTAAGAACACATCGTCACACCCTGTCAAACATAAAGTATCTCATTGTAACGATCTTGCATATCCTATCCTTTAAAAATAAATACAAGTGTGACTGTTGGGAACAGGGTCAACAGGGTTTACACTTAAATCTGCCCAGATCGGGAAGAGTTGAAGTGAAAATAAATAAAACTAATAATAGTGAGTGTTATTTGCATGATCATGACGTAAGTGCATCTCTTGACAAGTATCTATGAAGCACATTGGTTGGGCAAAATGGTCCATTGAATAAATAGCCTGCCCGTTACTCAGACCCAACGCCAATGGATTTTTTTTATGGAGATACCTTAAAGTTGAGACCTATGCTAGAAAACACAGACGGCACTAGAAGATCTAACAGCTATGGTTAAACTTGTGAATCAATAGTTAGCCACTTTCAGCAGCGTATTGGCCAGAACTAAAATAATTCCATACATCCGCTATAGGAGGAAAAGTTATGAATTTTAATCAGATTATTCTGTTATTTGAGTATTAATTATTTGTAAGTAAAAAACTGAAGCTGTAGTCACTCAAGCTTTATATACAACTTTTGAACGTACCATGAATATCTGTATACCTTCAAGTTTAGGAATAGCATATCAGTCTATTAAGCGGCCAAGGCGCAGGGATTGATTACGTAGCATTGACTATTAAACGTTCATCGTTTTCTTCTCCTTTGCCGTTTTCGACACACCCTGTCATTTAACTTATTACACTTGACACTGTCATTAATGAACCTAGAGATGCTTCAGGCGAGTTCTATACTAATGATATACTGTTTAAGCGATAATTGCAATTTGCGAGAGAAACTGTTCCACTATTTGATTTGAATGGTGCCCCGTCCTCAATGGAATACAGACACAAGCACCGCCTAGACAAATTTTTTGTCGTCTCTAGTTCTTCTGGAACACGATTACATAATGGGGTTTGAACACGCCTTTGTTAGAGTTGTCAATTCGCCGAATGCTCGGCGCTGTCTATGGCGCTACCAATGAAAAGCGGCGGGAGTGTCGTTTTAGATAATTCATAATGGCGAGAAACTAGAAGTGTACTTAAAGCGAACGTCTCACTGAGCCGACCAATGCGTACGCGACATATAATATTTCCGGTATATGACTAGGACCAAAGTACTAATGGATTTTTTTAAATCTGTTGTTCCGGGAATTTTACTTGCTTATGGTCATATGAAATAACGTTGAACTTGTCCTCATACGGAAACTTACAACGTCAATGTTTAACCAAGATGCCATATGCAAGAGTACAGACGTTTCCGTCCTGTCGAATTCACGGCTCATTGGCACTTAGAAATGATGTAGGAGGGGCCGCCGGCAATTTATATCCGCGTGTTTGCGGCGCAGAGCCTGATGGCAGCGGAAGCTCAGCTTAGGGGAAAAATAATGTCATCACTATCTGCTAACATCAGCCCCATGTGTCTCTTGACGAGGACGGTCGTGATCGATATTAACAAATGAACCTTTAAGATACGTACTCAACGCCGTGTCAACCAGTGGAAGGTCGTGAGATGCTTCACAAAGCTCTTTTTTGTTGTTGCTGTTATCGTCACCATCGTTGATAAGTTTTGCTTCTTAGTTGTGTTTTGTCTGTCGGCTTTTGTCATGTCAATAATTCTGTATAAAGCCGAATGGCAGCGTAGCAGTCGTCAGCGAAGATAGGAGTCGTCAAGAGGAAAAAAAGGTGACGTCTAACAGAGGCAACAAACCGACGTAGCATAGATAGAAGTGAGTGTGTGTGCAACGCCCCATAAAAGTGAACCCATCATAACATTTTTCGTAAACCACCTGTGCTGGCAAAGACTATTAATAAATAGTTTGATGGCTTGGGCAAAGAAAACAGTTCCGGGGTGGCAAACAGAATAAGGCATTTCGTACTGACTATCCGATGCTTCCGGACCGTCCCTATTCGCTTCGTATCTAGTTTTTCTATCAGGTATCATCCTAGTACGACCTGCACCGCAGCTTCAGCTGCTGCCGCTGATAGTATCGGAAGAAGTTCGTGGACGCGAACTGTTGCACATTTATCTAGTAAATCAGTGATTTAGACTGAATGTAAATTCCTGGACAAAAAAACACATTCGAGCTTTAGCGGTATAAGAACGAATGCAAGTATTGATGCGTATTTGACCAAACTACTTGACTGATGCAGTGACCAGCGCTAATTGGGATTTGCTCAGCATCAATCGTCGTTGGGCAACATATACGGTGGACGTCGGTGTCAAGGTTCGATGCCGTAATAGTAGCTGGAGCAGCAGATAGTCCGCCTGTTCCTTGACCGACAGAACCCCAATCGTTTGCATGAGGGTGTAATAGTAAAGAATGTATGGCAGCCGCCGCCGTAGTCGCACTGTCGTCTGTTTTCGCTAAAGTCACACGTCTTTTATCTGATTCGAAGAGGATTATTTAGTCGAGTCTAAGTTTTTCTGCCCAGAGAATTCGACGAAGGATTCGTTCGTTTCACTACGCTTTGATCAAAATCCATGAAGCGAACCAATAACTGATCATACACGATCCTACAAGCTGCGGAAGAGACCATCTTCGCAAACAGCCAAATTTGTTGCTAATAGAACTAGAAGCGGACCAATGAATTTCGTATGTGTCTTGCACGAACGTTATCAGTATACGTAGGTATCGAGTAGTTCGAATATACGGGAGAAGTCACAACTCATTCCCGGGAAGATTATGGTTACCAGTTTCTCTTACGAACTATCGGGGAAGCATAAAAAGCGAACGACAAGCAGGAAAGCAGAGAGGAATGCAACAGTCGTCTATGTGTGCCTTTTGTTTGACCACTCCTGCTTCTTTCTTTTTTTGACGGCTTCTCTGGTCCCCTGCCCTCGCACGGTCGCTCTATGGCCAGGACAAGCCCAGCCGCTGCACAGTGGAGAGATCGTACTCGTACGTATTAACGGATCCCAACTGCAGCAGCAGCACCCGAAATGAAATTCTTAGGTTCATCCAAGACATTAGCAGGCTGGTTGAGCATAAGAGGCGCAGCTGGTTCGAGTGTGATGTTGGCGGTTACAGTTCAAGTCGCTTGTCCTAAGATCGCCAGCGGGACGACGGACATTGGCAAAAATATAAAAGGACAGAAGTGGCCTAGAGATGGTACGGCCACGTTCTTATTTATCTTCGCTCTATATGGACGCACGATAGAAATGAAATGCGCAACACGATATCATACATCAGTCTGGGTGATCAGGTGCCTAGAAGCAATAGTACATCAAACTATCTGCAACGTTTCCTAACGACACTCATTTGTTCCGTCAAAGTATTGCTCGATCCATTCAAAAGGGTACGCCAGGATGGTTTGTGAAATGGTTTTAGCCTATCACTAATTCTGTGACGAGCATTGGGCGCTTTCCTTTGTGAATACGCTATTTGGTTGGGAATTATAGAGGGAAATAATGAACATACGCAGTTGGACGATTCCTATTTAGTTTGTGATCCATGTCACAGTTGCTCCCAGGATAGATGAGCTGGGATGCATTAAGTGTATGTAGTAGTTGACTAAGTCCACGTTAAACTGAAATGCATCGCGCGTCGTTCAGCAGTACGACCTAAATCGGTCAAGGACTCTACTATTTCTATTACTTCTTAGTCATTCTTTGAAACCAATCTGGTGGGGCATCTACCTTTTCTAGACTTCAAGCAAATGATTTTACACATGGCCATGACATAGTTATTTTACTTAAAAGGGAGAATTCGGAGTTTAGCGAAAAGTCTACTCGATCACTCGACCACAAAAAGCGTATCTGCCTGCCTGTTATTTTAGTATTGTCAGGATAGATGCATTGATATAATACGTAGCGCCGTTTTACAAAACTAAAGTATCTAAAATCCTACATTGGCTTCTACGCTGTTAATCAATTCTATCCAATCGTTCTGATCTTATAGGGCGATCTTGGTTGACATTGTTTTCGCCCCCCACAATAATGACACGGTGTACTGGAAATGTCGCGCATGTCCTTTTGTTGAACTAAATTAGCCTGAGCCACTGCAAATACTCTCTAGGGAACATCTATTTGCAATGATAGTAGACTCAACGCACATACAGCAGCCGAAACGATTTTGTCTTCCTTATCGTCAGAATTATTCTAGACTAGATAATCTCCATCCTAGGAGCAATGTTATTACCAGTTTTACATTTATAGTTATATATATATATACTTTTTATTATATATATAATTTTTTTTACGAAAAAAATTACTGCTGCTGATAGATCTGACTGTGTTCTGTACGCACTATAGTATACGTATAAAATATAGCAGTATGCACCATTCACGTTGAAGGTAATGCCCCTCCAAATATCTTGACACCTAGTTATAGCTGTTATTAACTACTTAGTAGATTACACTGTTTTCTATGATCATTATTGTGCTACTACAACTATATTTTGATCTGTTTTATGGTTTCCGACATAAAATTACTTGCGTACATCTAAGTGTGCATTAAGTGGTGTATTGTAGGGGGTAATGCCTACCCAGAACATAAGCATAGCAGTAGATTTCTTTATTAAGAGCTTCGGCATTATATAAAGTTAAGTAGCATTAAACTTAATACTTGTTTCGCTCCTATGGATTCCTAATTTTGTATTCATTTTAGGTTTGTGCAACGATAGGTTGCAAAAAATCCCCGGCATTTGCAAAAAGTTTCGTGGTTTTACTGTTGTTTCTCTTTTCTATTAACCTGCTGATTCTGGCAAGACAACTATAATTACCAGCGAATAAAGATTACTCTGTGAGACATTTCATCGGTATCTGCTGAAGGTTACCTGTATTCAATAGAAATAATGTTGGCTATCCTGATAGTCAAAGTATAATATAACTTTAGTTTGGTTTGGTCTAAGCAAACCAAATGCAATTTGAATTGGAAATGTGTTGTATTTTTATAGTTTTTAGAATGAATCGTGCAGTGCGTTTGTGTATCTTAATTTAGACATTGAACTATACAACTTACAAAGTTGACACTCATGATTCACAGAACATAAACCAACAAACTTGATGTTCTACTAGCCCGAACGATTTCATAGAGGAACACATATCAAGCAAGAGCTCTATTAACTTAGGCGTGCTTTCTGAAAAAGATAGAAAAATTGTAGGTCGAAGAATTTTATTCCTTTTAATTTAGCGAATAGCATTGAAATGATGGCCAATTTCAGGTTATATTGTGAGATTAATGAAGAGTCTTCTTTCACAATAAAATCTTGGAATATCGAACTTTGAAACGGGTCTGTCTACTCTAGAATTTTAAAGCAAGCGGTAGCCGTTCAAATAAAAACCTATATGTCTCATGAAAAAGATGTACATTTGAAAAGATTTCTATCTGGATAATAGCAGTTTCATATGATCATTTTCCTGCCTGACTATGTAAACATCAGACTGGCGTATAATCCTCTTGAGATAGACAAATTGTGCACAACGAATCTGTATTTTTCACCTATGTACTCCACCCCCAGCCATAACGATTCAGCTGGAGCAGTAACCTCATCACCCCATCATTTTACATACGAACCGTATTTGTTGAGCAAAATGGACGCGCGTCGCATTTGTATTCCGTTCGCGCGTTTCCCCCTGCTTCTGTTGCTCTGACCGCTTCGGCGCACATGTTTGATACTATTTGATGCTCTGGCTACTTGATGCTACTATTGTATATTTCGGCACAATTACGCAGCTGTATAAGCTGCTGCTACGTTTTGGTTTTGTTGCCCCCTTCTGCAGTTATCCTTGCGACCTAGCGTAAGTAACCGTAGCGCTAACTCTGAAGTAGTGCCTAACGGCAATACCGTATGTCTTTATACGAACAATCATTCAGCAGTGCTAGAAAGACCCCCGACCCTCTTTTGTACCGAACAAATTTTATTCGTATAAATGCGTTCTCAACGACAGGACTACTGTCCAACTTTCCTGTCCCGTACCGTTCTTTGCGGTTCTATGTAGTTTTGGTGTGTGACTTCGATTTCGTCATCTGGGTGACCACATATTTATATAGTATTATTATGTTTGACTACCTACTCTGATGTCTAATCAGCTTTGGGTAGAGTTATAACCACTGTTCTCTATCCGTTGCTTCATCTTACTCGTTTCTTTGCTTAAGTTAGCCACTTGGCAATATAATGATGGTTTATAATGAAGTTGCACGAGCTCTCACCTTTCGTATTGTATTGCAACTAAGCATATTAAAGTGAGTCTATATATATATATATATACGTGTATTTATACGATACATTTGCTTACGGTAGAAGAAAAAAAAAAGAGTTGCAAAAGATTACTATGAAACAGCATCGCGATGGCAGGTGCAGCATTAAATAATACATAATAAGTAGTATTTTTTATGAAGTTCTTGGCTAGTTACGACTATAAGCCGATCGAGTGTCATCAGACCGTAATTAATTTTTAGGCAAGGTTATCGTTCAGTGTTGAAGATCAACGCTCAGTTATTAATGTTCTATCTATTTTTTTTTGGTGAGAGTATTGGATATATCTTTCGAACGCTGATGATAACACGGGCAATTAGGCTTCCAGCAGAAGAACAGCTTGTTACTTGTAGAATCAAATTAGTAGGTTGGAGACCACGTAAGAAATTATTACATTCCAGGACTTAAAGAAAAACCGGTTTATAATACTGCGCAATAATAGCGTAAGTTCTCTCCAAGGTACGCCTCTCTTTTATCTACCTATATTGGACTTCGTTCGTGTTAGCGTCTTTGCCATCACGTTTCAGGACATGTGATCCGAGCCATCCCATTATGGGCCGACAATGAGCGCATGATCCACGCTTTGTTTGACGTAAAAGTTTCGGCGATTACAGTAAGTAGCTTTTCTGTCTTAGGTCATAAGGTGCGAACATTTCTTCTATGGTCTTCAGCTTTCATATTCCTATTGCTTGAGGACTGCATAACTAGCTGCAAATTGCTAATTTGCTAAAGGCAATATCCTGGTTTACTGTTGTCTATAGTTTTCAATGGTGCTTCCTAGCAGCTTTTTCTCTCTCAAAAAAAAACAGGAAATTGATTACTAAGCGTTGATTTTCGTCACTCAAAGATGCTTTTGCTTTTGAAGTAGACGAATGATCTTCAATCAAATCATAATAGCGAAAGTCAAAGACTTCATGCAGATATCTGCCATATTTTGTTCGTTAGTGTTAATTAGTTTGGAAATTATTCTAAGTCGTCCCGAATCACCTGATATATAAGGTCAGCATTTTACAGTTTATAGCTTTCTATAACTATGTATATTATAAAAGTCTATAACTAGGTTTTACGTTTCAAGTAAGACGTATTAACTCAATTAGCAAGTAAATAGTCACGCATTCAGTAATGAGACGTTCATTTTAAAAGTTTCAGCCCAAGTGTCCGAAAAAGCAGCAGCAGTAACGTTAGTAGGTATTGTCATATTATCGAATCGTTACGCTATTAATAGGTCAGTACAACACAGCTGTCTTGACAAGTAGTTATGACGTCCATTTATCTGTACCTTGAGAAACACGCACACGCAAAACTCGATAGGAAAGATAGAAAGGCATAATAGGAAAAAAGCGGACATTAAGTGTCATCTTCTACCACTAGTTCGTGTTGGTAACGTTGGTCGTTTACTCAGCTTAGATAAATACACTGTCAGAAAACGAAAAAAAAAGCAGGATTCTCTTAAGGCGATAGTTAACGCCAACTGCCTTTTGGTCTATATGGACGAGTGATAAATGGCCTTTCGCATTCATGTGGCGTTGTCGCTAACGCTCCTCGTCTTGTTGCTATTGTTATACTTGTTGATCGGCTCGTGATTATTGGTGAAGAAATCTACCGCTGGTATCACACTGTTACTCTGGTAGTAAATTCGAATTTTATAATATAGGTAATGTTGTGGACAGCCTAGCTAATATACGCTGTTACAGACGTACCTGGCAGATTTGGAAATTGACCAACTTTTGAATTAGTTGCGCTACTATGATCCTACATATAATTTCTTCACCTATGGTTTCTCGAAACATATCGATAATAGGCTATGCTTGCCTTTGGAACTTCGATACCTGGCTACCTCCTCGTTGGTCTTCAACATACGAATGTCCGTTTTGAAATTTTTGTACCACTCACGTACTGTGTTTCCACTTAATGTCTTCGCCAATCCTCGATGAACTGCCATGACGCTGTCGCCTTCGAGGCACAAAGTCTTGACCACTCGACGTTAATGTCCTTTTTGCCTAAAGATGCGCTTCCTTCTGAACTCATTTCTCATTGAATTAACCGGCGTTCACTTGCATGTTTAATGCATACTGGAATATTTACTAGCGTGATTTTGTCTGCTAGTGGCGCCTAATTCAAAAGTTATTCTATTTCGAAGTCCGCCGGGTTTGCTTGCAACAACCGATACATATATATATATATGTATGTGTATATATCGGCTGTATAGTTCGAGCAGTAGGGACGCACTGTATGGACACGAGGGAAACCCTGAACTGGAAAGAGTAAAAATTGTTCTATATATGCAAACGTGGTGATGCGTGGTTTCTGTGCTTAAAAAGTAACCATCACTATCATTGTAACAGACGCAATCGCTATAGTGGTTTGAAGGTGTTATTTTGGTAGTCAGTATTGATGTTTGTTAGCATGACGGAGAAATATTAAAGTGATCGGAGCAGACATCGGGAAAGTCGGTCATCGAGATTCCGTTAAATGTTTAATGCGCGAATAACAACTGCAGAATCGTATTGCGCAGTCTGATGCAGTCTAACACAGATCCAAACAGATATTCATAAAAAAACAACGATCAGCCAACTACTTACCAATGCCGGTCACGCTAAAGCCTTTTTTCTTGTTGCGCTACGAACACATCCAAATCGATTCATACCGTCAAACGGTTAAACGAGCGCACTAAACGCTCTTTAACCAAAGCCATTTTAATCTTTTGGCAGGAACGGCCACAAGCTTCCTCTGGCACGACCAACCCATTTGTACAAAAAGGTTACTATAGTAGGAGATGGTGAGACTATATGGACCATTTTGTTATCTACTAAGATAGTATTGGTCTTACAAACGGTACTGCTGAGTTCAGAGTAATGATTTTCCTTAGCTAGGCATTCTTGTGACATTTTATCAAAGGTTTGTTCCACTTGCTAATAAGCTGACACATAAAGGTGACTGTATTGAATCATAGGAAGCAGTATGCCGTCGATTTTTTTTTTTGAGAATTTTTATTTGAGAGCATACAGACATATATACGCTTGCTTATGGTAGAAAACAAGACAAATATAGATATATATACGTTGTAGTTTGCTGCGTTATGTTACATGTACCAACCTGGCACTTATGATTCTTTTTTGAAATAATTATCGACGACTCGATCAGCACCATGGACCAATACCTACATCGTATTTCAATTAATCATGAATCGTGATTAAACATTGATAATCTTTTACCCTAGCGCTACGGTTATACGAAATCGACGATTTAATCTGAATGGTTAACCCGCGTTAAATTTAAAATTTAATTTACGAATTAAACGCGTTACCATTATAACCATGAGCGCGTGTGCATGGCTGGTTTAAATTTTGACGCTGGCAAATAATTACTAATGTGTATCGTTGCCATGCCGTTTCAAAAATCTGTTCACTAGTTCAACCAGATCGATGGAGCATGAAGCAATGGGGAGAAACATGTCATATAGCACTTCATATCGAGGCCGATACTCCACAGTATCAAAAGTTTACCCCTCGCAGGTTTCGGCCGGAAAATGAAAGAGGTTTCATTATGTTGTGAGCCACCGTTTGGATGAACCTCATATAATAACTCATCAATAAAATAACTCGGAATGATTCAATAGATAGGAAGTAAAGCCTCAAAAGATCAGCTACAGGTCAAGGAAAAAAACAACTCGGTTTTTTTCTTTTCCTTAAACAAAATACATCTCCTGAATATGCCAGGATTGGGGCCATTTAAAACCCGGCTGCACACTATACAATAGAGCTTCATCCTATTGTAGACAAATCATTGACCTCGTTAGCTTAGCCGTAAATGATTATGGCGCATCGTCTTTTGTAACTCTATTCACACCCATTTCACGGGAAACAAACACCTTTTCTTTAGATTTGCTGAATGGATAACTTTTGTGCACACAGTCAGGCCCATGTAATTCCACCTTGTGGTACTCTACAGGATAAAAAAACTCTTGGCATCGTGTAGGTTACAGGATAGAGAAATCTTTGGCGAATATATGAGTATAAGCTTCCGTTTTGTGACAATGGATCTTTTTAGCTGTCGCTTTGAATACATTGTGACTCGTTCCGAATCGATCGTCCCGTACCTGAATGATAATTAACCGTTAGATGCATACTCGTAACGCATAGAACTCGTAAAATATAGAACAGCTTTAAAGTAAAATATGGAAAAAAAAATTGTTAAGACAGTTAGATGTTTTTTTCGCAGAGGGTCTGAACGGCAACGATTTACCGCTAGCAAGCGTTTCCGGATCCATTAAGCAGTGCCTTAATAAGAGGAACTACAGGCCTCTTCCTAGACGATGTCAGATGTTCATTAAGTTTTGTGGAATCATAAGTGTGATGTAGTATGGTAAACTTTGATTGTATACAGCATATATAAAGAAGAGAGTCTACTGAAAATAATGCTACGCGTGTTAGCTTCGCTAGGATAAATCCTGGCTCATCGCTCTATTGGCGACACACACGTATATGTGAGTAAGTATCTGTAGGTGCGGATTGTTATTGCGGAACAGATTGCAGTGGCAGTAGATTCTAACATGGCTCTAATGAGCAAAAGGGTAGCCAATTAGTTACTGCAAAATAGAGGAAGAGAAAAAATTTATGTTGACAGACCAGCTGAGAGCGGTGAGGCGAGAACGGCCGGAAATACTCATACGGCTGCTGCCGTATTTCATGCAAAGCAGATCTGATCGGACGCCGACGGCGAAATTTAATTTATTTAGCCACGTTAGCCACGGCAGCAGTCCTGCTGTTATTAGCAGCAGCAGCGGCGGCGGCCGTCCGAAGAGGTGATTACATTAAGGACCAACGCATTCGGGTCAGATTTTTTCTTTTTGCTTAACCTGTTTCGCAGCACGTGCGTGTGTAGAGCTCACCAGGACACTCGTTGGCCCCAAGACATCTTTTGTCGTCGAGGGATTGAGTGACGCTTTAGTAAACGAAGATTCTTCATTCTACGAGATATAAAAAACATAATCATAACTCTGCTTGATTTTTAGGTAACGCTGGTTGCAATGATGCAACTTTGACAGTCCGACAGTCTGATCGAATCCGGCCGCGGCCGCTGTATATATGTCATAGGGTATCGACCGCATCTTACCTATAATTCCGCAATCCGAAAACGAGCAAATATGAGCAGTTTGCTGAACCGCCTTAGTCACTGCACCAGTGTATTGCAATGAGGTTCACTATACGCAGATAGCGCACTTGAGTGTTAGTGCAAGGTCGACTTCCATCTACTTCGGCAGCCCTGATGCATCCTTCAAAGTAGTGAAAATGATATTCTCGTTGCTTCAAGACATATAAATGTAAAAATATAAAAGACATTAAGGATAAAAAATATAAACATAAAAGACATATAAACCTAACCTAACCAGACGCAATATACATATGAAGCAAGTGACGATTACGTCAGAAGACGGGGTTAATAACATCGTCAGTGAAGATAAAGCTTCTAACGTTCATTGGGCGCGTTTATTTCTGCTGTTTTGAATGCTTGCGCTGGCGCTTCCGCTGTTATCCCTGCTGGCGTTTGGTCCGTTAATCCACTCATTCATCCGCACTTGACCGCCGCTGGCTACTTGACTGGGTGGCGCGCCAGCCGGTTCACTCAGGCACGTCGCTCTGCGTCAACGATCAGTTGCAGCCTTCCTGACGGCTTGAAAGCAACAGAAAGGACGATTAGGATAGGACTCAATGGGGCGAAGTAAAGGAGCCTCCTGGAACCCATGTGGGATGAGATGTAATCTGGAAATCGGAGGCTATCTACGTTGACAAAATGAGGCGGACAAGAAAATAAGGTAACAAAAAACAGAAGAGGAAATGTCTGGCCGACCCCGAAAGCCCCCGGCGAGGAAACTGCGATCATGAGTACTACAGCTACTCCCAATAGATCTCGTATTTCCGATAGCGATAGCTGTATCTATCACTGCTCTAAGAAATCAATTGAATGGAAAAGGGTGTGCATGCAGTTCTGTGTGTTTGTGACAGATATGTGGGTGTGGGTTAATGCCTTGCAGTTTGTCCCTAAACTTTGCTGTATTCTCTAAACTCATTCAGTTGGCAACACGATTTGTGGAACTGCTTACTTGCTCGGCCGAGGCAATTATTTCGCAGTGTTTGCCCTGTCAAGTTCCGACTGGGCCGCAATGTGACATATTTTTATCTATCGTTCCTTATACATGACTGAGTGGGAGGAAACTCACTAGGCATGCCCGAGTGTCCATATAAGCGTATATATAGTATGGCGACATATAAAAGCTGACTAAACGCCTGGGCGTTACGGACCAACCACGTTAAGCGAGACGCCAAGCGATGATACGATTAACGATAAACAATCATGTCTCGTATAACTAGACTAGTTTCCTATGCGTTTTCAGACTCCTCCCTCGTCCTTTGTTCCCGAAATGTTAAGATCAGCCCGCTGCTGATGATGGCTTTGGCAAGCATTGGACAAATTGTAGTGTTAGCGAATTGGAAGTTAACACTGACCAACGACGCTACTGCTGCTGCTGCTGCTGCTGCTGCCTCAAGAAATAAGTATTGACCGATATCGTAATATCAGAACGTCAAGCAGACAACATGGGTAGACACGCAGCTAGTAACTTGTCGCCATCGTTCAGCAATTTCTCTTGAAAAAGATGCGAGCAAGATGACCAGCGCCGAGCCTAGTGGTTTAAGGGTCGGCTGGTCGACCTGAACGCGAACGAATAGCAGCTTCAGGAAGAGTAATAATTACTAATGAGATTTTAGTTGACGCACAATGGCTCTGTCTTACCTGGCCGTACATCTTACGAGCTGACTAGAAGTGTAGTGCGAGAGCACTCAACAGATTTGAGCTTTTACATTGTGAACTTGATTTTACCTATTAAACGGATAAGAAATTTTGGTCATGGTATTGTGACTAATGGCGTTATGAGCAGTAGAACGGTGGAAAATCAACTACGAGACATTGTTAAACAAATCTAAGCTAATGTAAACAGATAAACAAATTTTGTCGATGGTAAAAGTATGAGACAGACTTACGCTGACTAACCGAGGCCGTATCCTTAGTTAATCATTAGAAAATCAGCTAACCATTATAG